CATGCATCATGTGATGAAAGAATGGGAGAGAATCTACAAACCATGGCACATCATTACATGGAGTGTGAACTGATGGGGTCATCTCTATAGGATGAGGAAAAATCTATGCACTATATACTATATGGCATTTCTTATCCATATGCTTGTAGGGTCTATTTGATCGAGAATGCAAAACTTGATAACCAAAGCCTGTCCTTCGAATCAGGTAGGTCACATGAAGCCACAGCATCCACAGGTCCCTGCCACAGCTAACCCACTATTTCTGCATAATATGCTCTATAGTAGGGATCATTTATATATATATATATATATATGAAATGATGAGACGTCACTATAGACTATTCCGATACATATATGTATGCATCTAGCAGTAGGCTTCAGTGAGGGCAATCACATGACAGCATCACAACAGCTAGACTACCCACCTTGACAGAAACTTCGGGGCACGGCGCAGGAGCTTCATGGACAGCATCAGAATCACAGGCACCCACCTGGGCAGTGATTGGCATTGTAGGGATCTTAAGGGCAATGATATTCTTTGGATAATTTTGGATGGATATACTGGTGAATAGAACTTGTTTCGATCAATAATTTTAGAAACCTGCCTCAGGCTCTGCAGGAACCGGTTGAAGAGATTCAACATGAGCAGCAGGCACCAATGCCTGTTGCTTTTCAAAGTTGCATGCATGGTCGCAGTGCACACAGAACTTATATCACGCACCTCTCCACTTGAGAGATCCCGTTGAAGGGCTTCATCAGGAACAGCAGGGGCCATCGCCTTTCAGTCTCAAGACCCACATCATTAATAGTACGCTGACTCACACCTATTTATTCCACCTTATCCTTCGAAATATGCAACTTCGAGAAAGCATCCAGTAGGTCCTGGTGAGAACAAAAACATTGATTGCTAGCACCATGTGAGTCAATTGAATGCCAACATATGCCACTAACATCCTGCTACTATATTTATACAGTTACTGCCTCCATTTCCGGATCAGACTCTGAAGGTTCACACGGTTCACCATCGTGATGATCAGCAGGAACTGTCTCCTTTTGGGAGCTGGCACTTCTAGTAATGTTAACATTCGAAAAACAACTCAAGCCTGCCTTGGCACTTGAAAGAATAAGTTGGGAAACAGGGCCATGATCAACAGCAGAAATTTCACCTTTTAAGGAGAAGTTCTGAACAGCTAGCACCATGAATAGTTGGCACTGTGGTGCCCACCCCATGCCCATAGTGACTTTGTTGAGGAACCCCTTCTTGGCCAGCCCTTGGTATTACTTACTAGTGGTTGTAACCCTGTACTTACCCAGTCCTTGTTGACATCAAGGGCCTGTGCGTCGACCAGAAGCTGCGTCTTGTCCAGGAAGACATCCTGCAAATCAACAACACTGACACAGAGGTGACTTGCTGGTTTACATTACATGCGGGCTCCTGGTGCAGATGAGCGTTGACAGACTCAACGTCCAAAGGTTGAGTCTCCATGTTGTCCACCGTGCTACCTAGTTATGCTATGCAAATGCTCAGCACGGGTCACGAGTATTTGAAAGCTAGAGTATGCATGCTTAAATTTCCACACACATTGGAGCAGTGTTCAAAATCCCTCCTCTCATTCTATTATACTGGTTGGTTTTTAGGGATCCCTCTATTGGATTATCATAAGCCCCTATATCGGGTATAATCCATAATCAACCAACAGATATTTTGAACACTGCCCATGGATGTTGATCAAGATACCCAGAGCGACAATGGTCTTTGGTGCTCGGATGGAGTCAGCCAAAGCCTGCAGCGTTGCCAGGCTCTTCAACTCAAGCTCCAGCTCAAGCAGCTGCTCCAATTGCAGCAGCTGATGCAGCCGCATCCTCGGATCCTGGGAGTGACAAGTAGTGACATGGTGTATAAGGATTGCAGCCTGACTGCAGGATAGGGTACATATTAAGTATTGTTCAGAACTACATATGCATGTATATCTATCTAATCAAATCAATTAAACTTATGGATGTATATCTATATAGCTAAATAACTATATAGATACCCTAGATTGACTATATAGATATACATCCATAAGTTTAATTGATTTGATCAGAATATTGTAACAGGCCATCCAATCCAAACTCTAGCATAGACAAGGTTCTTCAACAGGCATTGGCGAAATTGATAAAGGTTCCACACATTTGGGAGGTGGAGTCATAACAACTGGACTGAGAGGTTCCGGTGAAATGGGTGGAGGTACCACAGGTGGTGTCACCGGGCGCATCACATCCACAGGAGTGCTTGCTGCAGCACTGCCAGTAGAATCACCTAGCGGACTACAGATGCATGCAGCATGTATTTCTAAGTTGTTGCACACTGCAGGTTATATATATATGTACATATATGTGTTAGGGCATTATGCACTATGCTTCCATATTTTCTATGTTGGGGCTCACTTCATCATCCTGGCCTCCATCGCTGCCATCCATGTGGACTTCAGGCACAGTAGACAGAGCGCTGCCATCAACGTGTGTGACACCATCCTCATTCATCTCATCAACTTCACCTTCATCTTCATCCATGTCAGTGGGTCCACCATCAGCACCAGATTCTTCATCTGAGGAGCTACTCTGAGAATCAGAATCAGATTCATCCTCCCAAGTGATTCCAACCAAAGCCATGAGTTCTCTTAGTTCAGGGTCTCTTGGACGATGGGGTCTGTTGGCAACCCTGTTTTTCAGGAAGGATAGTAGGCGTCTTAGTTGCCATCCTTGTGTTTCACTCACCAATCCTTAGATATTTGAATCATCGCAAATGAAATGCAATCCCAATCCCGGCCTATTAGTGTTTGAGGTTTGGTACTTTGTTTGCGGTATGCCAAATAAAAATGAAATCAAATCAAATTGTTCATCAATGAAGTACAATTGATCATATAGCCAAAGTCTCCAGGGCATGGCACCTGCATGTACTCGTACAAGGCAGCAACATGCATGACACATAGTTTTACCCCCACTCTGAGCCCCAAAGCAACAACTGCTTTCCGCAATATATCCATGTTCGCCTTGACCGCATCCCGGTCTGGTGACCCCCCTGGGAGGGTGACCTCAGGAAGACCATACATGTTTGGTATACATGACATAGGTACAGATGTGGACAAGTACATATTACATATGTGTGGAAGGGCAGGTAAAAAAAAAAACATGTGTGTGCTGACAAGTAGCCAGTTGCAACTGGCGTGCCTTTTCACGAATGCTGGTTTCTCCTTCCCATTGCACTGCCAGCGCAGAGTGACTCATGGTGTTGTTTTAAAGTTAAAGTGGATGTGACATACTATATTCCCATCTATTCCCGATATCATGTGATCTTGCGATATATTTTCTGACATGGAGTTCATGCTGAGCCTGTCAACACAGCGGTGGACCGAGGCAAGAAGGCCCTGACCGACCAATCACATTTGCCACCGATGCAGAAAAAAACCTTGCACTGATGGGCAGGGCTGTGGGGCAGTGCCTGAATAGCTCAGCAGCTGATCATGTTGATCATGGGAAGAGCCATTCCATCGTTCAAGGATCTTGGCTATATAAAGTATCCATGTTTGATCCATATTCTTGAATTACATGTTCATTCTTGATAAAACTAATCCTGAGTAAGCAAATTATACATATTATTGCATGAAGATGCCAAAACCATATACAACCCATTGATTCCTGTACATTCTGTACGCTTGGTCCGTTTGAGCCAAGTTGAAACATTTGTGGCCATTTGTGGGGCATTTGTGGTCAACGTACCAAAAGTAAACTTTTATTTAAACGTTAGCAGGTCCAGGTATATAATTATATATATATTATATATATGTATTATACATTATTATACATGATATAATATGTAAAGACTATGGATATCAGACAAGTCACACCTGCAACTGCATGAATCATAATGAATCAAGCATCACAACTGATATCATCATAATTCATTCGATCTTTTTTTCCCCACCTGCCAGGTGAGGGTTGTTAGATTTTATGTCAGTTGCCTCCTCCTCCTTCTCCTCCTCCTCCTCCTTCTCCTCCTCCTCCTCCGCCTCCTCCTGCCTCGTCCTCCTCTCCTCCTCCTCCTCGTCCTCCTTGTCATCCTTGTCGTCCTCGTCGTCCTCGTCGTCCTCGTCGTCCTCGTCCAACTGCGACCCGCGATCCACAGTGTTCTCTGCCGGACCTCAACCACGACCATCCACGCCCAGTGTTCCCTGCCGGACCTCAACCACGACCATCCACGCCCAATGTTCCCTGCCGGACCTCAACCACGACCATCCTCGCCCAGTGTTCCCTGCCGGACCTCAACCACGACCATCCACGCCATGTGTTCCCTGCCGGACCTCATGTAGGAAGATATGGGACAAAGAATGTGCAGAAGAAAGTTAGAAAGAATGTCAGAAAGGATGTCAGAAGATATGCCAGAAGATATGCCAGAAGATATGCCAGATAGAATGCCAGATAATATGCCAGAAGATATGCCAGATAGAATGCCAGATAGAATGCCAGAAGATTTGCCCGATAGAATGCCAGAAAATATGCCAGAAGATATGCCAGATAGATATGTCAGAAGATATGCCAGAAGATATGCCAGAAGATATGCCAGAAGATATGTCAGATAGAATGCCAGAAGATATGCCAGATAGAATGCCAGAAGATATGTCAGATAGAATGCCAGAAGATATGCCAGATAGAATGCCAGAAGATTTGCCAGATAGAATGCCAGAAGATATGCCAGATAGAAGGCCAGAAGATGTGCCAGAAGATATGTCAGATAGAATGCCAGAAGATATGCCAGAAGATATGCCAGATCATATGCCAGAAGATATGCCAGATAGAATGTCAAATAGAATGTCAGAAGATATGTCAGATAGAATGCCAGAAGATTTGCCAGTAAGAAAATGTATAAATGTCATGGTGGGGATCACACGAAGTAAAGTAATTTAAAAAAAATGCGTTTCAGCATCATTTCCTCATCATCGATTTGCGAGATCTCCCAGGTGCATGTGGCAGATCCCGAGGGAAAGGAGATGTTTTTGCAGCTGCTGTCCACCTTAAAGGACGATGTGGCTGAACGGGCCGCCGACGCGCCGCCTGGCCAGCTTGGACAGGACCTGCGGTTTTTGGGCGGAGGTAGCCGTGGATCCATGTAGCACTCATGTAGCACTGATGTAGCACTCATGTAGCAGTGTCTTGATGTGTCTCGATGTATCTTATGGATTCTTATGGCGTCTTATGGTTTATCATGGTTTATGAATATGAATAAATACTGAATAAATAATATTGAGATATATATATATATTATATTATATATATATATATTGATAAGAACAAATATGAATGACATGCTATGAATATGGCTGAATCGTCATGGATGTTCCTCCAGGAGGCCAAGATCGATCCCTTCCACCTGGCGGACGTCCAAGACGTGGCCAGCTCCAGTGTCTTGCGGACCGGCGTCCAAACACTGGCAGCCTTGGGTGGTGGCGATTTGGTCCTTTTCCAGGCGCCTGGTAGGGAGGTGGTAAGGCTGGTAAGGGAAAAAAGGAGTGCCATAAGAATCCAAGGGGAATCCGAGGATTGAACAAAGGTGGTGCTTCCATATATATACATATTATATATATATACATATTATATATATACATATATGTGCTTTGAATTCTGAAATCTTACACTATTTGTCAGTATATTATATTGAATAATATCGAATCTGATTGGCAGATCTCTTTCTTGATCCATCTTTCGCCTCAGGCGACGGTGCCTGCTTCAGCCTGGGGTCCAGATGATTCCGCGCCGGAGGATGACGACGTGCTGTCACCGAAGACGCCAATTTCACCCAAGACACCCAAGACACCCATGAAGTCGCCCATTGCCCTGAAGACTCTCGACATACTCTCGACTTTGAAGGGAGGACAAGGGAGGATACGGATGGATAGGGGAGGCTGGCAGTTGAAGGAATCAGCTGACCAGAGATGAACTTTTTGGCCTTGTCAATACATGTTGAGACTCAAGATGGGATAGGACTTTGCGAGTGATTTCATTGATATGTGCTACATCATCGCAGTTTAGCATCATGAAACTGGCAAACTGACACTAAGGAAGCGAAAACGCACCTTCTTAGAAGAGATGCATCGGAGTTGCTGTCGAACAGGCGCCTAAAGCACTCCCAAACATTGGACTCTAGAGTCAATGCGACACAATCATGATATTCACATTCATTGTCACTGATTTGGGTGATTGAACAAAACAAAACATGGTGCTGCTGGGCACTCGAATGGATTGGCTTCACTCCTTTATCAATTCTTACTGGACAGATTTTCTCTCGCGATATGCCGAAGGTGTAGCCGTGTCAGCAGTGACAGCCACTGTAGACGGAGACGCTTCAAGATTGCATTGGCTTCCATGGCGCACTGGTGGCGATGCTCCTCCGCTAAGAGGGTTTTTTCTGTGTGATGGGTAGAAGACGATGCTTTCAGTTTGGCTCATCAAAATGAAGTCTCGCTTTAGCCGAGTTGAGTCCATGTCCATGGATATCCTCTTGTGCTGAGGTGCTCCACTTGCCGAACTTTGCTGCCACAGCTACACCTAGCATTTCCAGCCAGTTGCAGCACTGGATGCAGAAGATGCAAGGCAGCCAGGCTCTCAGATGGAGACGTTTGGCATTTGGAGTGTGAGTTCACATGTTTTCAACAGTCGTAAGAATGATAAAGGCCAGGCCAGACAACCCTGGTTTGCGGTCATATGAAAGCCCTGCCCAGTACGAGCAAAAGAAGCCTCAGTATGAGTTCGCAAGACAGCAAGGTGCCTACAACTGCGTGGTAAAACTCCGTTGCAGTAAAGGCGGGACCACTCTGCCGCCTTCTTCCATGGTGTGAAGTCCTTTCCAGTCACCCAATGGACATGCAATCCAATGCTTCCAAACCACTTGAAATTATAGATAGACCACGATAGACCATCACAGAGCAACAACGGGTATTGATGAAAAAGGCTGGCTTGTCCTCACTTTCAGCAGGTGATCTGAAATGAGCAGGATTTGATTATTTATCTTTTTTGGGCGCCAAAAACTCTACGCCAATGTCCTTTCAACAGCAAATGCTTATCTTGAATATCTCAAAACAATCTTTCTATCATGTGTGTTTTGTTTTGTCCATGGCTGGCAGAGGACCCAAGCTTCTTGGCATCAATGATTCACACGGTTGCCCAGATAGAATAATACTATATATAATTAATATACAGTAATATCGCACATGGTCTATATTATTGTATGAATGCTCAGTTCAATCCTGCTGCAAAATGGACGGTCTCTAAATCGACTAATGCCTGCCATACATAATCACAACAACGCTTCGCCTTCTGGTAATTGCACTAGTAGCCATGATGATGACCATATATATATATGATAGATAAATAGATAAATACACGACAAATAAACAGATAAAGAATAATATATTCACATAGATAAACAATACATAAACAAAGCATTTCCTACCACCACTACCGCCACTACCACTACCGCCACCGCCACCGCCACCGCTACCGCTACCACTACCTACCAATGCTACTACTACTGCTGCTGCTGATGATGATAACAATAATAAATGCGAATTTTTGCTTCACATCTGACTAATCCCATTTGGCGCCAGGCTTGAGTTGCAGGGCTTTGTTGGCACCCTGGCCGGCAGCTGCATCCTCTGAGGACCACAGTGCCTTTGAGGCGAGGGATAGCCCAGTATAATCCATGTTATGTCAGTGCTCCATGGATTTTGATCATTGTCTTCCCACTAGACATGTGTATTTAAATCAATTTAACCAATTCGTGATGAGAAACATGTAGGAAAAAAACACGAGTTTGTCCAACAATGAACGGGAAGCCACATTTTCATGTTGAGTTTTACCCACCAGAAATCTACATTTCACCCACCAGGATGGGACCTATGTCCAAAGCATTAATTTTCAGGGGAATTTTTCTGCAGCTACTTAATGCATCTTCTAATCAATGATTAATTCATAGTTAATGGCAAAATATAGGATATTACATGATATTACCCTTTGTTAATCAAACATGGCAATTGAACATCCGCCAGAAATTGGATTTTAGGCCATGGAAATTCGGAGATGAAGTCAATCCAATGGTGGATGTAGAATGGGTTCAGATCAGACTGTCCAGACGCTCCCGGATCTGATTTTTAAGGGACATGTGTGGTAGGCAGTAACTATATTTGGCTGATAAAATCATGGGTTCGTGTGGATTGTCCCTTGTACATCCTTGTACATCGAATCAACCCACTGATATCCATTGATCTCCATGGATATCCATTCAAAATTCTCAAGCGATTGATATCCATTGATATCCATTGATATCCATGTGTATATTTCAACATATTTCAACTATACCGAATGTTCGGTGATCATAGCCATACCCCGCTGGAGATCATTATCATCATTGGATTGGAAAATTTGGAAATGCGTTGTTATGGGGTGCATTTCCATCCTTTCAGAAATCCTGACGCCGTCCAGACGTCCAGGTACCACGTTTGTCTCCAGACATGTCCGTGACCTTCTCTTTGGTACCAGAAATTGAGCCGGACCCCGACGAGGAGCCTGGGATAAAAATCAGGGAACACGATTTAACATGACATGATTGACATGAATGAGTTAAGCATTCAAGAGTACTAGATGATACTAGATGTACTAGTAGGGTATCAATATTTTGAATATAATCATTATAATCAAAGGATATCAATGTGGTATGTGGCCGACTCAATCTGAATTTTGGGCTTGGTATACACCCAAATAACCATTCGAAATTGGACAAAAGATCAACGATGGGATTTTGGGGTGTCCTTTTTCACAAGCAACCTTTGCAAGAATCTTTAATCTTCAGTCCTGTACTGTACCTAAAATCCATTAAGATCCGAAGTAATCTGGCTTGATCATGAACCCAGAGAGAAGTTTGAGTAGACGACCGGTACAAGCTGAAACATCCCGAATCGGAGAGTATCTCAACTCGAAATCGTCCAAAGCCCATGCT